CAAACCGCGGCCCTGCACCTCATCTCCGACAGTGTGGCGCAACAGCGCCAACTCGCCGCCAACGCCCTGATCTTCCACCCGGTCACCCTCGCCCTCTACATCGCCCTCGTGGCAACCAGCCATCGTGCTGACCACCGTGGCCGGCGTCACCATGGCGGCACTGCTGACGGTCAGGTGGATGGTCGCCGTGTATCTGGTCGAGGCGGAGAGCGGGTGGGGACGTGGCGCTGGTTGGGCGCTGATGGGTACAATAATAGTCATAATAACAATAAGGTGGAGGTGTTGGTGACGAGGTTCGGAGACGAGGTCATTGCCGCGCTGGTGCTTGCCGGTGTGGTGGATGCGAGTAGTAGTGTGAAGCGGCGCAGCAGCAGCAGCAGTGGTGGTGGGGGGAAGAAGGGCCATAGGAGTAATAACAGCGGCGGTGCTGCTGCTGCGAATGCTGCTGCGAATGCTGCCAACGCAACCCCGAAGATCAAGGCGGTCATCCGCGCATGGACGGTGCGCCAGAAATACCGCAGAAAGGGCGTGGGCGCCGCCCTGCTGGAGGAGGCAGTCCAGTTGTGCCGTGGCAAGCGCTGGAGCGCCCGTCTTCGCGGCCGATCCTGCCAATAGCGCAAGGGTGCTGCCGGGTTTGTTCAACGCCGGGTTTGAGGCGAGGGAGAGGAGGGCGCGCGACATGCTGGAGAGGTTTGTGAATGTGAAGATGAAGATGAATATGAGTCTGGAGAGTAGTAGTAATGATACTGGTAGTGGTAATGGTAATGGTAACGGGAATGGTGGGAAGGGGGGGAAGGGGAGGAGATGATGATGCGATGTCAGTTCACTTCTTGGATTATCTAGACTGGGCAGGATCAGTACCAGTAGTAGTACCAGTATCAGTACGACCTTGACAGGTTCCCAACGTCCATCTTATCTGGTACGCTGGATGTTCCACATCATCCACATCTGGTGAACAAAGTCAAGCCGATCATTTTATCCCGTCAGGATAGTACATCACTCGTTCCACAGTGCCCTAATCAACCACTCTTTCCAGGCAAGTCACTCATTCTCCAATGAACACCTCGGAGCGTAGACGGTGAGACCAGTTCCGAAACTCCATCTCTCCTCAAATTCCTGAGCCTTCCTGAACGCCAAGTGCCAACATCATCATCATCATCATCATTGTCACTGTTTTACCAACTCTTTATGATGAGACACCTGACCAGTCAAGTCTCGGTGCTCAATGCCTCCCAGAGCGGTGCTGGACCCTGCTCCGATCGAATCCATAGATAGGTGTACCGCGCTATGATCGAGTGAAGATCACCCTTTGGTCAGCTTCATTTTCCTCGTGTAGCGCGTGCGAAAGGGTGAAGACTAGGCTAGAGCAGAAGAAGGCAAGGGGAGAAGCTGACTCGGGTTGTGCAACTCACCCGGTTGAGAACCCAGACCACATCAGTCGATGTGATAGTCTATTCGATTTCACCGAAAGGTCAGTTGGTTTGTCTTGATTGGCACTTTACAAGTGACTGTAAAGGAGGCGGAACAAGTGAGTGACCACTAAATGCTAATTTACTCACTTTTCGGCGGCCGTGTTCGACGACGTGGCAGATGTGCTTGAGGACCTGAAAGTAGATTTGTGAGTAAGGAGAAAGTAAATAGAGGACGGCAGGGCGCCAGGGAGCCTCACGTCGGACAACCAATCTTTCAAGACTGCTCGAACGTCATTGTAGATTTCATATCGGATCCTCTGTATACCACCACGGCGGGCGAGACGACTAGAATTCAGGCATGAGCAGCAGTACACAGGAGACCTCGTACAATGTTCGGAGGAGGATGAGTGTATCCGCCTTAGACGAATGCTCTGAAGTGACAGAGAGGTGAGTGAGAAACTGACCGGATAGCAGGATTTGCTGAAGATTATGTCAACTTCACCTCAAATCATCTGAGGATAGTGACAGCAAAGCTGCCGGTGGAGAACTTACTGACACCGCGGATGTTATCACGGCAAAGCTTGTAACGGTGACGTCGAGGAACCGAGCTGCTGAAGCCACCAAGACCGCTAGGACCACGGTATGCAAGGCCTTGGCCGTGGCCAACGCCGACAGGCAGATTAGCCCAAGTGATCTGGCGGTTAGACATTTTGAGGTGAGGTGAAAGGGTTGGGGTGTGAGAATGTGAAGGGTGATAAGGAGAGCGATGCCTAAGTAGTGAGGTGGGTGAGAGTTGAAGATGGATTGCGACGTGATATTGACTGTGGTGGAGATTGACAGGAAGTGAGGGTGAAGGCTAAGAAGTTTTATGGGTCATGTAGTATGCCAGGCAAATGACTGCTCAGTAGTGGCTGAATAGCTGAATCGCTGAATAGAATAGCCAGTGGAGAAAGCAGTGAATAACTTCGTGACAGTGACTTCGAGGCTATGCACTTTCTTGGCAGCAATGCAAAAATGCTATGGACGGACAGACATAAGAGTAACCCTGAGGTTGCAGATGGAAGAGGATTGCATTATTAGGGTACATGGGTATTTCCCGATGTTGTGCGCAATCAACAGTCTAGCCAAGAGAGAAAGACGCCATGCAGTTACGTAGGATCAGGAGACTAGGAGATGAAGGTAGCTTCGGAGAACAGTATGCCCTCTTCCTCGGCTTCTATGTCACCGATCTTGATCTTGAGTCGTAATCGATCCGTGGGACAATACTATATTGGTGAGCAGAGGTTGTCGACCAGGGGCAGATCACAAACCTGATATATGAACGGTTTTGTCCCTACAACACCACCAACAATGGTCTTAACGAAGCCAGGTATATGAGCCAAGACGTCGACTCGATCCAGACGTGGGCCCAAACTGCCTGTAACGTGGGCAACGACTGGTCGACCGTCTCTGGTCTTACCATTCCATTCGAAAGACACACTCTTAGGCTCAGGCCAGTCGTTCTCGCTGTCTTTGTTTGTAGCAGTATGCTTCGCCGAACTCGAAGCTCCTGCTGATATGATCTCGTCGTCCTTAGCTAAGGCGCTGACATTCACAACCGTGTTACCATACGAGGCAGGCGTGGTGAATTCCATCATCACGGCCGAGTAGGTAGGGGTCTGACAATTAATGAAATTCCACCTAGCAGCTGCGGAAGGTTAGGCACAACAGAGTTCGCGAGGCTGCTGAACACATACCTGCGTGATGGGGTTTCATGCCCTGCAAGGCGTGAACAAACATAGCTCTTCCTCTCATATCGTACTTCTTCTCTTTCGTGATTATGCTTCCTTCTACGTCGCATCGAGGCCAAAAAACGTGTCTCATAGATCCCCAAGGATGCGAAGGATCAGTTCCGAAGTAGCTCGTTCCATCTTTGCCAATCTGGAAACCGGGAGCAGCCCGAGTCAAAGTAATATTGACTATGCTGTCTTCGCTCACAGCGGATTTAATTGTAAAGGAAGTGCCGTTAGAATTGAGCTCCACAGCCAGGTTGTCAGCATAGAAGCAATATTGTTCTTCGTCAAAGCCATAATTATTCAGCGAGTCTGAACACCAAAGATGCTTGAAAGGTCCTTCGTGGTTGAAGATCTTTGAATTGAATTGACACGTCGTTCGGATGCCACTGGGATGAATCAGCGCGAGAGCGGCATAGCATCTCCACAGTCTGACCCAACGTTGCTGTAAATGACTTGGAGCAAAGCAACGACCCCATCATCGGACATGAAGTAAAAAGTCTGTGTTTCGACACACGTGCTTTCCAATGCCTTCCATCTCAGATCGTCCTTCGACAACTCAGTAAAGGGCACTGATTGTGCCTGTACAGCCACTGATTGCATCGCGGATGGACCATATTCAGGCTCCTGAGTGCCGGCGACGTTTGCCAACCTTGAAGCACGATTTGCCTGTCAGATTCATAACAACTAGGCAGGGCTTGCGTGAGATAACTCACGTTTGCTTGAACCAATTCATTCTGAGGGTCCGAAAGAGAATATCAACCTCAGGAATACTAGTATGGGATGTAAGAATATGTGTCTCGGGCCCTGCCGACGTCAGCGAGCATTGGAATATTGGCGGCTTGCGGCGGGTAAACCTGCCCGTCTAAGTTAAGTTGGACATGGGGATCGTGAACGCTTGGCTACCACCTAGCTCGCATACCAATACTCTACTCCGTACTATGCAATCTAAAACAGTTTGGTCAACGATTTATCCTCAAATAATCATACAACAAGGCTTCTGCTCTACGCTATAGCACTTGCTTACTTCGAGCAAAGCCCTCCAAAAATTACTGCAAGATGGCACGCAAAATGGCAACACGAGATCAGATTGTGAAGCTTATTGTGGGAGCTGGTAAAGCAAGTCCAAGTCCACCGGTTGGTCCGGCTCTGGGTAGTAAGGGAGTTAAGAGTATGGACTTCTGCAAGGTAGAGCAATGCTCTGATCCAGTGCTGAAGCCACAAACTAACAAGTTCTCAAGGAGTTCAACGCAAGGACAGCTCACATCAATCCCGGTGTTCCCATTCCAGCTCGAGTCACTATCCGTCCCGATCGAACCTTTTCATTCGAGTTGAGGACTCCTACCACAGCATATATGTTGCTGCAGGCTGCTGGCGTGAAAGAAATCAAAAATAAAATACGAGGCGCAAGCAGACCAGGACACGAAAGTGTGGGCAGTGTCACTTTGAAGCACGTCTATGAAATAGCCAAAATAAAACAGTCAGAGCCACGCCTATCGGGCTTGAGTGTCCAAGGGCTATGCAAGAGCGTGATAGCACAAGCCAACTCAATTGGAGTCACGGTCACGGCATGAAGTACTAGAGCAACTCAATTGATACGGCAACGTCTGCAACGGGCCAACTGCAGCATCGGAGAATAACATCGGACGGCGACGATGGGAAGGACAGCTGCTCTCTTGGACAACGAATGCGGTATTGACTGGAGTCGCAATAGACACACCAGCCCTGAATCCATCACTCGAACACGACGGGGCACACTTTCGGGGTAAAGCAACCGAATAGTGAGTTATCCAGAGTTCTACTCTACAACTGTTGTCGAGCAGCTCGCTCATGGATGACGCCTTCAAGGTCAGGAAATCCATGGTTAGAAGAGCGAACAATCCATGATGAGACTAGCGAAGGAAATCAGCGTTGGGGGGTGTGTACAGCGTTTTGGAAGAGCACGACTCCAAGGTCGGTGTAGACACAGCTCAGGAGGAGCAGAGCGGTTCAAAATATGCATGAGCTCAGGCTGCATACCGCTGTCAAGCTTTCTCGTCGTTCCAGGAGGTATTCTGTCTAATAGGACCTTGTGGAGGGACAATAGACCACAATGCATCCCTCCCACCTGCCGAGCTTCTTCCGGCTTCATCGTCTATCACGCCCGCCATTGATCACATGTGCTTCCGGCACTCCTTGCAGTATTACGTATCATTGCAGTACCTGTTTAAGAGCTGATCATTGGCCATTAGATAGCTGACAAAGGAATACGTCGTAATCGTCAAAATTTCAAAGTTACGGCACCGTAGGAGGGTCCACTGAGGGGGCAGTACGAGTATTTGCTGCACGATACAGCGGCTAGCAAGCAGGGATCCATCCCACTTGCCTCAACAGGCCTGATACTCCGACAAAGACCATGACTCCGCCGTAAGTTAGTTACAGATTGATGAAGTCGGACAAGACATCCTGCATTGTTCCTGACCGCTGGGCATTCCTTTCATGAACTCTACATACATAGCAATAGGTACTTGATATGTATATCTGGAATACTCGTCCTTGCACATTTAGCTCGACTACATAAGGGTACGATCTAGGGTAGGTCGGCACAGCACATCATTTACCCAGGTCCTTTACTGCTGCTCGGCTTGAATCGGTCCGTCTTCCTTCAACCTCATGCTTCTGCGAGAGCTGTCTTTAACGATTCCAAGTCTCTTACTAGGCCTATGTGTCGACATCACCTGGAGTAGTGCAGGAAACTGCTTCCTGTTTGGCCTTGGAACTTCTGTTGTTGTCGAACTCCAATCCTTTTACAGTCTCCAGTACGATCTACCGATCTCCTGAACCGTTGCCGATCTCATCTCCACAATGACCTCCAAACTGGTGTCTATGTTCTACCCTGGAGAAGATGTTAGCGAGAAGAAGAGTATGGCTCTTGGCCTCCTGGCCTCCTCTTTGCTAGGACGCGAGGCTAACAGACGATGTACAGATAAAGCAAACAATATTTCGAAAGCGCAGGACCCGCCACAAGGAGAGTCCAGCCATCCTCCCAGATCTTCTACTCCTCAAGCTGTGCGGTTTGCGTCTGGAGTCCAAGAAATAGAGCCCGTTCATGGCATACACCAGATGATCGACCCGTCCGGGCAGAAAGTCAAATCGGCGGAAGAATTGACCCCGGAAGCCAAAGAAGAAATACGCAACCTTGCAATTACTTTGCAAAAGTCCAAGCTTCAAGAGAGCCGAATGTCAAATTATGCCTTCGAGCCCATGTCGCTTCCGCCTTCAAGAGTAGGTCATAACTATCGCCAGCACCTTCCTGACCTTGCATTCTTGCCTCAGCCTCGCCCTTCTGGGGAAGCCCCGTCGTTGCGCAAATATTATTTGCCCAGTGCTGTTACACTGACATTGCTGCCAGGCAACCTCCCGGGAGCCCAGCCCCCGTGGCTCTCCCAGACACTCTCTCATGCCTTCTGCTCGACCATCGCCTCCTATCTCTAGTATTCATTCTCCACCTCTTACACCACATGACTCTTGCTCCAGAGAGCCCTCAACCGACGCGATTGTTACGTCCAAGCAAGAAGCGAAGTCCACTGCTATTACCCCACAAACATCTCCTCCTCAACAACCCCACGGTAGGTCTATGTCAGAATCCATTTCTCCTACTGCTACGGCTTCCAGGCCTCCCTCCTCTGACCAGCATTCCACTCGCCCTACATCAGTTTCGGAGGAGTCGTGGCCAGATGCTCCAAAACGAGTGCCCCGCTTCGCCGTGGGACCTTCTGGAGAGTCCAGTCCTGGCGACCCAAGTCCAACACCAACCACCCCATCTGAGTCTTCAAATCGTCAAGCCCCCGTACAATCGTTGACCCAACCCGCGGATCAGAGCAGACGGCATGGGCAACAAAAAGTTCCAGGGCAGATAGATCAGCGCTATCAAATCAGCCGGGACTCAAAACGGAGTTCAGTCACACCTGCTCAAGCGTTGCAAAATGCACATCTACTGCCAAGATCAGGGAGCAGCAACGAAGGAAAGCAGGAGAAGAAGTCGTCTATTTTTGGTGGTAAAAAGGACGGCCTTGCACATGTCCATGATGACGGGTCTGGGGGACTGAGCGAAAAAAAGCATCACGGATCGATGTCCGAGCTCAAGAGGTTCTTCCGTCTCGGCCACAAGCACAAGCGTGGGGAGTCTCCTGCCCCTGCATCGAGAAAACCTAGTACCAAGCCCGACTCGAAAACGCCTCCCCATCAAGTTCCGCCGTCTAACGTCCCCTTTGCGGATGATCACGGACTCGAGGCTAAGTATGGCAAATTCGGGAAAGTCCTGGGTTCTGGTGCCGGTGGCTCGGTGCGTCTTTTGAAGCGCAGTAGTGATGGTGTTACATTCGCGGTCAAGCAATTTCGAGAAAGGCATTCTTGGGAGAGTGAAAAAGACTACTCCAAAAAGGTGACTGCGGAATTTTGCATTGGATCAACTCTTCACCATGGAAACATAATTGAAACGATGGACATTATTCAAGAAAAAGATCGTTGGTATGAGGTCATGGAATATGCGCCGTACGACCTATTCGCCATCGTCATGACAGGCAAGATGAGCAGAGAAGAAGTCGCTTGCTCATTTCTGCAGATCGTCAATGGAGTCAGCTACCTGCACAGCATGGGTCTAGCCCATCGCGACTTGAAACTAGACAATGTGGTGGTCAACGAATACGGTATCATGAAACTCATAGACTTCGGAAGCGCGACGGTCTTCAGATATCCTTTTGAGAATGATATTGTACTTGCATCTGGTAAGTACACGACCGTTATGCTCGTTGTAGTGACTCACATACGTCTTAGGAATCGTCGGTTCAGATCCTTATTTGGCGCCTGAAGTCTACGAGGAGAAAAAGTACGACCCTACAGCTACCGACATATGGTCACTTGCCATCATTTTCTGCTGCATGACGCTTCGGAGATTCCCATGGAAGCAGCCGCGACTCATAGATAATTCCTACAAGCTCTTTGTGGCGCCACCAACGCCTGGGACTCCCGTGCCTGATTCGGAGCCTCGGCGTGTATCCGAGAATAGATCGAAAGACGGATTCGTGATAGAGGATGCCAAAGACTCAAGGCGACCAACTGAGCCTAGTCTGTCGCAGAATGGGGACGGAAAAGACAAGTCTGGCCATCGCCATCGCCATAGCCATAGCCATAGCCACTCAGAAGCGAACCAGGCCAATGGAGCTTCTGACGCATCGGCAAAGACCTCCACAGCATCAGATGCTTCTGGTAAGAGTGAGGTGGTCAAGGGGCCATGGAGGTTGCTTCGTCTTCTTCCCAGGGAGAGCCGCCATATTATTGGAAGAATGTTGAAGGTAGATCCAAAGGAGAGGGCGACCATGGACGAGATCTTATCGGACGACTCGGTGTTGGAGACTCCCGTTTGCAGCCAGGAGGAGCAGGGTGAAGTAAGACGTGCGCCGGGTCATGAGCATACTTTGGAGGCGGGAAATGCTCCTCAGCCTCCCGGCGACAAGTGAGCATGCAGTATCCACTGAAGCAAGAAGCCAGGAGGCTATGGAAAGAGCCACAGCTTCGATGAAGAACATGAGATCCTAATGGCGGCGAACTTCAGCATTTAATGGAGTAGAGCAGTCTTTGCACGCAAAGCTGGGCGTTGGGGAAACCTGGACTAGACTGGTGGAAAAGGGGTAGAGGGGGGGATGCCTTTATGAAAATAATCCATACTAATACCAGTATGGATACAGTTCTTGTGACCATCTAACAATACTGCCCCTGAAGCGCCCCGCATAACTCCGTACTGGCGAGCAGAATAGCTGCATTGCCCCTGGTAGCAAAGCGCCGCAAGTCTTGGCTCGCTGGCGCAGGAACACTGCAGCTGTGTTCATGTAGGCTGGTTCCGGCGGCGTCAGCTTGCGATGTGTAAATGTTCACAAGTAAAGTTAGCGCAGCTGGTATGTGCTTTGTTTGCTGCAAAATGTCAGGGAGACGGCTTTCACAGAATGACCTCAAGTTGCGATCCGCTCGCTCCTTCGGGAACGGACTCGAGCATTTAGAGGGAATGCCCATCATGCGACCCTAACCTCATGCAACATTTTCCTACAAGTCCAGCGTAACTTCAATGGCGAGGAAGAAGCGCCAAAGAATCAGCTATGGTAATCTTTGAGCTTGAGTATGATCTGCGCAATCGAATCTAATAATTATGCAGTCTTGCCATTAGCGAAGAAGGCCGGGGGTCATCGCTTAGGCGTAAATGGGCTTGTAATTGACGAAGACAACTCTATTCTGTACGACAGTCTCTACAACACATGGTCCTTTTGTACTGACAGTGCTCAAGATATACTGGTGGCCGCGACGGGGCGATCTGTGCTTGGGACCTTAACCTGGACCTTCACGATACACATACTTCAAACCCGTTCTCATCGCCCGAAGACCAATCCTCAGACTCGACTCCGAAATCCTTGAACTCTACAAAATTTCGTCGCCAAGTACAAGCGCATACACATTGGGTGAATGACATTGTGTTGACCCAGCAGAATTCCACGCTCGTATCAGCTTCTTCAGATGTGACTGTCAAGGCGTGGAGACCGCATTCTGCCCAGGGAACCAGAGCCCAGACCATCGGTGTTCATAGTGATTATGTCAAATGTTTGACTACTCCCGATCCCACGGCAACATGGGTAGCCTCAGGCGGCTTGGATCATAAAATCTGCCTTTGGGACCTTAATGGCGCGGGGCAGAAGCTACAAATCGACGTCGGAAAAAGTGAGGGCGTGACTAAAGGTTCTATATATGCTCTACGCTCCAAAGGTCCCATAATTGCTAGTGGAGGCCCTGAGAGCGTCGTCCGAATATGGGACGTGAGGACGGGGAAGAGCATAACCAAACTGGTAGGTCATACGGACAACGTAAGAGATATCCTGCTTAGTGAGGATGGCGATACCGTGATGACCGCGTCTTCGGACCAGACTGTGAAAGTGTGGTCCTTGACAGCTGGTCGCTGCCTGAACACTTTGACGATGCACAATGACAGCGTCTGGTGCCTTTTCTCAACTCATCCACAGTTGTCACTGTTTTATTCTAGTGACAGATCCGGGTTGGTTGCGAAGACCGATACGAGAAATGTTAAAGAGATAGACGAAGGCATATCCTTAGCGGTACTTCAGGAAAACGATGGTGTACACAAGATCGTTGCTGCTGGAGGGCACATTTGGACAACGACCTCAAGCTCGAGTATCAACCGCTGGTGCGACATTAACACTAACGCGGACATTGAACCTTTACCACTACCTGAACAAAGTCGAGCTCCAAGTAGTCTCTCCAAAAGATCAGTTCCCACCTCACCGTCGAACACAAATTTTCCTACCACTAACGGCGTAAATGCTACGTCGAAAATCCCTTCCGCCGCTCTTCTTCGATTGTCCGTTACTGCACCTTTTCCAGGAACTAGGTTAAAGGAGTTTGAACGGTCGACTTCACAACAGACTCCGAGCATTCGCAAAGCTTCAGAAGCAATGATAGAGACAGATCAACATTTAACCATTCCTATACAAGCCCTACCTGAGGAGACGATAGAAGGCCAGAATGGTCTCATAAAACATGTAATGCTCAACGACCGAAAGAGAGTCTTGACCCTGGATAGCACGGGCGAAGTCGTTCTGTGGGATTTGCTAAAGGTAATCTGGGCTTGGACTCCCAATCGCAGAACTGACAGCCAAGTAGTGCATGCCTATCAAGTCTTTTGGCAAACAGCATCTGGAGGACGTCGTTCCCATGGTGAACACCGTTGAAAGTGTAGCGAACTGGTGCGCGGTCGATACGCGTACAGGCAGACTAAGTGTCATGCTCGAAGAAAACTACTGTTTCGATGCAGAGGTGTATGCCGATGAAACCGACGTTGCCAACTTGGCGGATTTTAGAGAAGATCAGAGAAGTGCGTGACACGAACCTCTCCACCTGCTGCAAAAAGATCCTTCGCACTGACGATGATCTGAGTAGTCAATCTTGGCAAATGGGTTCTGCGGAACCTCTTCACTGCGCTTATCGAAGAGGAGATCAAGAGAGATGAAGTCTACCGAAAAGAGTTGTTGGCGAAACATCACCGACTTAATGGACTGCAACGTGGAAATGCGCCGCTTTCAATCATGATGCCAGGGTCAGCAATGTCTTCCAACGACTCTCAACCTACTCCTCGACCGTCGGGTGGATCTTATCTAATCCCAGGCACTCCAGGGCTGTCAATCGGTGTTGCTAGCCCTGCTGGACCCCCTAACCATGTGTCCTCATTACCACCAAACCACTTAGAGCCGACTGCAGAGGAAGATCATGGGTCCGAACAGGACGGCACCACGAACGACCAAGCGAGTACCACAGGCACACGGCCCGATGATTATTTCTCCCCGAATCCCACCGCACAGCCCTCTGAAGCTTCGTCGGAAAGCAACCAAAAAATAGCAAACACTCTAGGCGACAAAGGTCCCGATGCGTTGCCTGCCTCTCCAGTCGACGACAAAGACGAAAAAAAGAAAGGTTCTCTGTTTGGGAAGGGGAAGAATTTCAAAATGACTTTTCCGAGCATGAAACTAAGCCGGATCAGCGGCGAGGCTAAGCCTGTCGTTACACCACAAGAAGACAAGTCGGAGGATGCATCGGACAAGTCGTCCGAAAAGGGGGAGCGAACATTTGAGGATAGTTTCTATGGAGTCATCCAGAGGATCCGGCATGATTACGACGAGCAAATCCAAACCCACCCGGATCAGCCACCAGTCATAGGAGTGACGTCCAGCTTGCCGGATGAAACGCCTGTGCTGAGACAACCACCACACACGTTGGTCCTCATTCAGGAGGATAGTCCAGAAGCAGGCGGAGTAGTTGACCTCTATGGGGGAGCAATCGCCACTTTGGGAGCTGACGCAGACATCGTCGAGAAGATTGCGCCTGCCTGGTTAGGAGACCTACTCCTTCGGGTAGTGATCGTCCCCAAATAGCTTTGTAGCATCTCGCTGACTCCTAATCTAGAACCACATTCCCTATAAAGAGACTGTCAAAGTCTCCTTCACTCTACAGCCTCTCAAAGACGAGCTACCAAGCATAGCAACAGCTGACGGGTGAGCCCCCAACCCACCGACCTCATATCTTTCTTCTTGTCCCAAACGCCAAACACCATTAAGTTGATACTTAAATATTGACAACAACCACAGTCGTCTCAATGCCAACCGCATGCTCCGAGCCAAGAAAATTCTGGCCTATGTCGCGGAGAGAATCGAAGCGCAGCCGACCGAGCTGGAGGAGAATCCGATGAAGGTCGAGGAATACCTGGAGCTGTATTGTCATGATCAGGTATGATTCCATGTTGCCGCTCTGCCTCCCTCTAGTCGTGCCAATTGGGCGCATCCGCTGACGTGTCGCTGAACATAGCTCGTGCCTCCAAACATGACGCTGGCGACGTTACGAACACATATCTGGAGAACAGGAGGGGACGTGGCCTTGTTCTACCGAGCAAATGGGAAGAAAGTTATTTCGCCGGCGCCGCCGGAGCATCCGCTGGCGGTGGCTAACGGACATTCGTCTCCGTCCTGACCGGAGCATGCTTGACATCCAGGCATTTTTTTTGAAGTACTTGCTTTGCCTCAATGCATATCTATCAGCTGCAGCGTCTTCCCGAACCTACCAGCGTAGTTGTACAGGGTATCCCAGCGGCGAATGGTGGCCGTATATACAAATACCAAATCCCCCACCGTTTAAGCGTCATAAGTCAACGTGATGATCATATTTCCTCCGCCTGCTCGTCTCCTCGCCCAATGTATTCCACGCCCACTGATACGTTCCCAAAAAGATAGCGCCGCCAACACTGATCCACGCAACCCTGGGCGCAAACCCCTTGAAAAATCCCCTCCACCCTTCCTCTCTCCGTATCCTCGCTAACATCCTCCCCGCCCCCTCCCTTTTCCCACTGTGTCCACCATGCCCCCTCCTATCCACCATCAGATTCGTCTTCAGCACATCCAACGGCGTTGTCAACCCGGCCGCCACCGCGCCCTCCCGAAAGCCGCGCTCTCCGCCGCCGTCACCAAGCCCTCCTCCCTCCGAAAGCGTCGGGACTGCCTCTCGGAATAGGCCGCCTTGAGGTACTCCCACAGACTGAACTGCACGATGGTGAAGGGGATCTCGCGCATCACGGTCACGCCGCCGCCGCGGTAGAGTTCTCGGAGCACGGTCCCGTAGCCGCCGTCCGGGTGGATCTGACGCTGGCGCAGCGCCAGGATGTCCTGCAGCGCGAGCAGCGACGAGCCCTGGAAGAGCCCCGCCTGTGCGCGTTGCTTGATCACTTCGGTCGGGATGCGGATCGCGCACGCGGCGGTTTCGCCGAGGGTCGAGGCTAGCATGTGGATTGCGGAGGCGGAGGCGGAGGGTGTGGTCTGCGTGCGTTGGTTTGAGGGGCCGCCGGTATTAGGTGCCGGGGAGCAGGGAGCGTTTGACGCCGTCGTAGACGACGAAGAACGAGGCCGCGCTGGGCATGGAGCCGAGGAGCGCCGAGGGGAGGCCCGCGTACATGGAGCGGATGGTGCCGCGGAGGGTGTGTGACGCGGTGGGAGAGTGCGGACGGCATGACGGGGAGTTGCGAGGAGTTGGGATTGAAGCCGCGTTTTTACCGTGTCGAGCGGGTAGAGGGAGAAATCTACCGTTAGTCCTGCCAGCGCCCCCGCGAGGAGGGACCGGGTCCAGAGGGATGGCACGATTGGAGGGGGAGGTGGAGGCCGCTCCCTTGAGGCTTTCAGGGAGACGGTCTCGGCCATGTGGGCCGGTCGCAGTGGGGATGATGCCGGCTACGCCTCTGCTACTACTGCATCTTGGTGGTGACTTTGGTCTGACGATTTCGCTGGTAATGAGCAGTTGTTCCAAAAAAGGAAATTGCTTGTCGGCTGTTTGCTTTGTTTGCTCTGTTTGCTCTGTTTGCTTGGTGGGTACGGCGGACTGTTACGGGCTTAAGGTCAATTCATAAGATCACTTCAAGACACCCTCTTACGAGCACCCTCTTATGAGCACTCTCTTATGGGCACCCTCTTAGGGACTTCTTCTCAACGATACCTTCTTAGACACTAAAACCAATCAAGTAGTTCTTTTTAAATAATTACACGTTATGTTGGGTTGGGATAAAATGATCAGTAAGGACTGCGGAGAATCCAAAGATTTGAATTGACATTAGGCCCGTAACAGTCCGCCGTAGGTGAGTACGGAATCTCTCCGCTCTGGGAGTTATGCCTCCTGGCCCACATGTGGCAAAACACACCACACAGGAGACAGGAGAAGAGGGTCACACCGTGAAAATGCCAATGTGGTGGTTTTGATGATTCGGCGCATCTCTACCGCTGCTCTCAATCTCCGGAAAGATGATCGTATATCACCTTCCGAGTTTCTGAATGCATTGACGAGCATATGGCGCCCCCAGGACGCATCTGGGAGGCTCCCCCAAGCGACAAAAATTGGTATGCTGTCTGCTGGGCTTGTGTAACAGTATCATGACGGTCGCGTGCTAGGTCTATGTGTCAGTGGTGGACCTGATTCTATGGCATTGGCATTCCTCTTCCAGCAGCTCAGAGGACTTGACATGGCACCAGACCTCGATCTCACGGCTTTAATCGTCGACCATGGCCATCGTCCTGATAGCGGGGAAGAAGCATTAGCCGTGTCGACGTGGCTGAAGGATCTAAGTTGGTTTTTCTGCAACGCCAGTGTTTCCTTGCTAAACATACGGCAGGTATCAAATCCAAGATTTTGCAATTGAGATGGCGTCCGGGCCAGGATCCGGCTCGGCTGACCAACTTTGAGACCAAAGCGCGTTCACTGCGCTACCAACAGTTTGCGTATGCAAGTCTGGAAGAGAACATCAGGTCTCTTTTCCTGGGGCACCATGCATCCGACCTGGCCGAGACGGTTATCCTTCGTTTAGCCAGAGCCCAAAAATTTATATCAGCAGGACTTGGCGGCATAAAGCCCGTCAATGACATACCATGCTGCGAAAGCGTTTTCGGCGCTTCCTGTAGCCTCGACGAGGCTTCAGCAGTTTCAGATCTGGTCAGTGCTAGATCGAAGCGCCCTGCGACGGGCCAGAATTCCGAGTGCCGATCTGCATCTTCCTCTGACGCTGACGATAACTCTTTTCCAGGTAGAGTTTTGGTATCAGAACCTGGTATGAAAATCTACCGACCGTTGCTATCATTTCCTAAATCTCGGCTCATTGCAACATGCGCTCAAAATGGAGTCCCCTTCATAACGGATCCTTCGAATTTTGACCCTAAGACAACAAGGAGAAACACGATACGCTGGCTTCTCTCAAACAACAAATTGCCAAAGGCTCTTCAGACAGAATCCGTCTTGCATCTTAGTGCTGCCTCGATGAGACTGGGCCAGGCCCGAACAAGAAAGGTCGAGGCTCTTATGAACGCAACACGACTGATTTACTTTGACACCCGCTCTAGCCTGCTTAGGCTAATTGTTCCCAGAGACATCAGTAATGCTTACAAGCTGTCCGAGCAAGACGCAGCTTACTATGTGACTCGTCTGCTGAGCCTCGTCTCTCCCCGAACGGAGACTCCGCGCTCTTTCTTGGACAACATCGACGTGGCAAGATGGATGTTCCCCGAACTTTACGTAACCAATCCTTCCATTTTGGATAAGCCACGCGATCCTCGTTCTATGACTGCTGGCGACGCTCTGATTGAACGCTTACCGAGCCTTTCTGGCTGCTGCTGGCAACTAACCCGCCGACCCTTCAGAGCTAACGAATATCCTGAGACCGGTTTCTCATCTACGTCCACTTACTCTAAAGGGGTTGATAGATATTGGTCGGGATGGAGAGCATGGGACGGGCGCTTCTGGATTCGCATCCAAGCACGTAATCACCCCTTACTAGAACAGTTTAAGCTTCGTCCTCTACAGCGTCAAGACATGGAACAGCTGAGAGCACGTGAAGAACTTCTCCCATTGGCTTTGAAACAGAAGCTGAGGAGAGCATTCCGAGATGCAGCTCCTGGGAAATTGAGATATACACTTCCATTGCTCGTGCATGGCGAAGAATTGCGGGGACTTCCAACCTTAGATATTGAGCTGCCGTCTAAGGACAGCCTCCAAGGCGACGTGTCTAGTCAGCTTCGATGGGAGGTACGGTACAAAGGTGTCACAGAAACACTGCAACATCTGAACCGAGCCGCTAGCCCGTCGCATGACCTCGTGAAACCTTTAAATGGCGACCTGAACGGCCAGTTCTCATCACCCCGCAATCTCGAGCAATCGTAAGATCCATGCGTCATTGCTAAACTAACCTACGACAGGTTGAACGCTATCTATATGTCTCTGTCAATTGGAAATCAGGTCAGGGCGAAATAACAGGGGTTCCTGTCGCGTCATCGAACCATTTCAGTCCTCCCAGCCTTGTGCAGATTCATGTGCGCCGCCTTTTCCGGACCTCTTTGCGCCTCCTTTCTCCCCAGCTCGGCGACTTTCCTGACATCGGTCCTCCCCTCGAAAATATCCTTCGTCTTGGACAAGATATCGCTCCAATCCTCAAACAGCGTGAATGGGAACCCTTCCCTCTCACAAACCTTAACAAGATCATGCCCCTTCTTTGCAAAGAGCAGATCCGTTTCGCGTGCCGCACATAAATCGCTCAACCCATCGCCGGCATACAACAAGGTCGGCTGCTCGCTCCGTGGCATCTTTGCAATCGCCTCCGCATACGGCCTAATGGTCAAACTTTTGTCGTGCCCGAACGTGCTATCGTCATGGTACTGGATTGTCCATCCATTCTTCTGATTCAGATCATTCACTGGCGGCTTCGCTATCGGCATGTTTGCCACAACCTCAATCTTTCTCCCTTCTTCTTCGCCCAGCAGATGCTGCAACAAGGCGCGGATAATGGGCACCATACCCGAGGATAGTACGATCACAGGAACATGATTGTCGACGCTCCACTTGTAGAAGGCGGTGAAGTGCGGGTCAAGTTTAATATTCTTGCAGAGAATGGGAATGCATTCTGGAAAGGAGAGTTGCCAGCTCTCGATCATGGTGCGGAAGTTATCCCTGATTTCAACCTTGCCGTTGAGGATGTCGAGGTTGCCTTGGAGTCGGCGCGCAACGCCATAGCCGTGGTGATCAGTTAGGTAGTCGTTTGCTGAACCCAAAAACTCCCATCAGCATGATTGTATCTTTGTGTTGGCTGACAGGAGGCATGAAGTGGGAGTGCTTGCTTACAGTCATTCGCAGTGACGGTGCCATCGAAGTCCGTGAAGAAGATGATCTTCGGTTTGGCGTTAAGAGTCGCTGGGAAGGGCATTGTGAAGAAAATGTGTGAGGCTTGACAATGGGCCAGCAGAAGCAGTCAAGCAGGGAAAGGCTGCCTATTTCTATAAAGCATGGAGTTGGGGGGATGGGGGGAGTCTCGACATTACAAAGGTCAATTGAATCTACCACTACTCCATCGATGTGCCTTATCACTCTCTCTCCCCCTGGAGCTTACATTTTTTGTCGTTTTCCTTGTTGGCGGGACATGATGACGACGATGGCCAGGCACACCTTCTTGACTAGGCTAGAGATAGATCCTAGTAAGTTACAGTAGTAAGCATCGGGTGGATGTGGACAAACACGTGCTCGGTGGTAGTGGTATTTACTACGTATGCATCCCGATATCATTCAAGCATCATACAGAGTCGTGCATCAAAAATCATCAATATAGGCTAAGATTAGAGCGCCACTAACACACTCTAGCTGAACTTAACACTACGTAATTCGTGCCCCATAGAGAGGGATCCCTTGTAGTGGCCCCTAACACTCCCCATAACATCTAGAAATCTTTAGGGTTCTTTTTTAGACTGCTGGATGTGACTCGTACTACTTACGTAGTGAACCTATGTCAGCTAAGCTTTTGACATTCGGGCCTATTGGCCGCTCTGACACTAACATGACACTACTGCAAAAATAGCTAGTGCTGCTTCATCGAGTTAGCGTATATTAATGACTTTTGATGCACGGCTCCAATATTGACTCGACGGGTGTGACTGATGGGGCTGCTGGGCTGATGGACTGATTTGTTGGATAGATAATCCCGCTGTAATCCTGCGGTAGGACGCATAAGTATCGAGGATGTGAACTAGTAACGGCGGACTTATCGAAACACAATCCCGACATGATCCGAAGCGCTATAGATCTTGACCCCTCAGAGACGATAACAATTGGCTCCAGCCAAGGCGTCATACAGACTTAATCCTCGTTGGGCCGAGTGCATCTCTGTCAAGGCTGCGTCCGATACCAAAATTCTAGGCCTGAAGCTAACAATACTTTATTCCCTCTTTCTACATAACATAGCCTCTTGCGAACATGCACATGCTGCTTAAATGGTGATGGACTTTGCAGCTATCGCTTCCGCTGGTCGTACACGTAGGCCACCTCAGGTCTGATACCATGCAGCACTGCCCACCCACTCGCTACGGCTTTCATATTCCGAATGATGGCTCTCGACATTACCCGGTTCCTCAACACCCATCCGGCCCTTCTTGGCATGAGGGATTTCCGCCTGAGGTCATCAAATTAGCAGCCTACCAATCCATTCATGTTTCTCACGGAATATCTCGGCACCACACAAGACAATAAAAATGTACCCTGTGCTCGGCCGGATGTTGCCGCTTTACTACCGGGGGGTATACTACGTAAATATTGTTAGGCTGGTGCTAGTAGCAAATAGTTGTGATAACAAGGTCACACAATCTGAGTGGTTTTGACTTGCCTCCTTAGCGTCCGCTGTACTGCTATATCTGTGTGACTAGTAGCACTGATCAAATAGAACTCGCTCAATGATGGCTCAGATAGACTGCGGGATTATAGGATATCTGTTCATGCATCTTAAATTAAGCATTTGAAGATCCTTTAGTTGAAGAATACAGATGTAGCTCATTAAATGATCTAGAGCAACGTTACTAGCTCCAGCCTAACAATACTTACTACGTATTTATGCACTCCCACCGTTAGTAGCTAACGTTGACGAGGCTAAAAACGAAAGGCGATCAATGCCAGATTGAAGGATATCACCTTATCTTCGAGGTATGTTAATGGATTTTCTCCTCATCTCTAATACCTTCGAACCCATCGGTCAAAGTAAGAGCTATCCCACCGGTTATGACCATCATAACTATCATACCGGAACCGCCGGCCTGGGCTTCTATTGTTGCTTCCCTTCTCACCCTTTAGACTCTGCCGACAGCTCACCCGAGCTATCATGCTGCATCCCATCTTTGGGTGGGGTGGCACTGGCTGCAAAGATGACTATCCTGTAACTTTGACCAGAAAGACTGGTGTTGGCATGTGTTTTATTGTAAGAGGCAGAGATTCGATCATTGCAGCTGGAAGCAGTCGCTTGCTTCGACCGATTTTTTCGTCGAGCTGCCTCTGCTTCTTGATCTCTTCGCGATCCGTTCCTGCGCCTCCTCTGCTTTACGAGCTGCTTGAGCTCTTCGCATACGTTCTTATGCCTCCCTAGCCTCTTGAGCATCGAGTGCTTCTTTAGTAGCTTCTTCCCTCCGTCTTTTGGCTGGTGCCGTCTCCCAGTTCTCCTACCTCTCGCGTTCTTGTTGTTGATCTGATCGTCTCCTTGCCTCGTGCTCTTTCTACAACTGTCACTGCCTTTTTGCCGCTTGTACTTACACCACATCTTCAATCATTTTCTAATCGGCCGTAACTCTACTTTTACACATACCACAATTCTCTCCCTAGCGTTGCAGCATACCTGGGCTAGCTCGACATGAGAGTGCGATGAGTGCGCAGTCGAAATTATCTCAACCCGGTTTACCACGCAGGGTGTTTCCATCACGTCGGGATGTCGATTAAGAGATAGGTTAGCTTGGCAGTCGAGTTCGAGGGCCATGGTCCATCGAAAAGTGAGCCTTGATCAAATTGATCCCCCAGAAAGCAAGGACCGCATCATCAGACAATGCAACAATATGCGTCTCTCGGTGTCTAGCTTATTCTCGGAGAACAAGGGTCATATTAATACCAATTCGTACATGCCAGGGTATTCGGCTGTTACAGACTGTGACAGAAGTACCGGAGCTACGAAAGTAGAGAGAGAGAGAGAGAGAGAGAGAGAGAGATGTATACCTAGGTAGGTGGGTTGTTCCCGGGGCAATACTGACCATTCAAAACCGTTACGCTAAAGGATAGACAGTTTCCTTCCTCTATCACAGCGGACAGTAATACGAGCTGCTCGAACTGGGCCCAGGAGGCCGGCGCTGAGATATCGCTGAGTTCTGTGTGCAGCTTATTGAGAATGGATGGCGCACCTCTTGACTCCCAAAGCCTCTTCCGAGCGTTAAGTGACCCGCACATCGCCATTGGTACACCGCCATTGGCACACCGCCATTGGCACACTCCACGCGCCTACTTCCTTCGCCCGGGTACACTTGGCCAGAACTTCCTTCCTTGCCTCCTCACTGAGCGATCACAGCGGATCCCAGTAATCCATCTGTTCATCTTCTCCACCTTTCGAACCTGGTGCCGACACCTTCACCCGGCCCAGCCGGTGGTCGTAGCTCTCGATGGAGCAGGTCTGCCTCTCCGCTTCCACTCCCTGGCATGTCTACCACGAATGTCGGCATCATCAGAGACCCTGCAATCTGTCCCCGGATGTGCCGCTCCGAATATAGACTATCCCTGAGCGGTGTGCCTAAGTCCTCGGCTCCTGGAACCACTTCACTTGGAAAGATATAGTACTGCATTTTCGTTAGCTGATGTTGCTTCCATGAGTAGGCCAGGAGAAGGGGGGAGACAGGGATCAGAAAGTCACCGGCACAATGTTCATATCTACGAGCGAGCAAGGGTGCGGATTAGTTGCTGCATTGTCTCGACATTTTTGTTCACGCCATTGAGCAAAAACGCTCTGGTTGTGTGGGCGTGGGAGTAGAGCGGATCAGATGCGGCGAGATTGGGATCCGTGGCAATGGGAATCTCTTTTTTTTCCTGCTGGAGAAGAACAATCTTGAAATCGCCGCGGTGGTGCATGAGTGGTGCATGAGTGGTGGATCTTGCATGCCGGCCGATACCGCAAGTGCAAGAAGATCTAGAACAATGAACACCCCCCCATCCAAGTCACCCGGCCCATAAATATTATATTGTTGTATTGTGATGCATGAGCTTATTCAGTATTCCTTCTCCTCTTAAGCTCCCACCACTCTGTCCCCTCGTTAACCAAGATAAAGACTTGTCAACCTGCTGTGCAGAGTGCGTAGATTGACTATATTCAAGAATTCTTTAATAATGCCGTACGCTTGTGACTTCTCTTGATGTGTATATACAAAATCCATGCCTGTAATAAAGCAGCGGAAGTGGCTAACCCATTTATCGTTGTTATACCCTGCTTCTAAAGGTATCAAGTCGTACGCCACACGCTAGAGAGGCTTTTTGGCAGGCTCTGATTGGCCAGAGCGTCGAGAGATGATTTTATGAGCTGTGCTTAACGCACAGGGTTCGTAGTCAGTTTGTAGGGCTGTAGAAGGAGCAATGACTGCTCTGTTGACGTTTTTCTGTAAATAAGAGATAGCCTCTTGCCCTGGATGCCCTAGAATAGCGTGCCAATAGTTAGCCGTGGCCTTAATCGCCTCTTTAAGAGCTCTGCTGCTGGCGGCGAACGTTGATAGAGTGCCTTTTTCATCTGGTAGAGGGTTGAATTCTAGTGCCCAATGGCTGCCGGCACGCTCAACGTAGCATAGCGTTTCTCCTGCTTTGTGTAGTCGACTCTGCTGCGTATCCTAATGGACTCCTTTTGCTATAAATCGATGTAGAGAAGCGGTATTTGTAAAGAACTCTGGCACAAGAGCAACGTCAAGGAGCTGAATCTGTGTCGGGCCGTTTGGTGACCTCACGTTAATAATAACGTGACCAAACGCCTTAATTAGGTATATCAACTTCCCTGCCATTATCTTATCATCCTCAGTAGCCGCACGCTTAATTGGCGCCTGAATCGAGAATCCACGTATCTCGGAGCTCATAGCTATCCCAATCGGTGGCGAACGACGCCAGCGGCGTTGATGGTGCAGAATGCTGCTCGTTAGAGTCCTCTGGAAGTTCGGACTGCTGTTTCTGCTTCTTCGATCGCTCTTGAAGCTTATTCGCTGCGCTTTGAGCGCGTTTAACGGCTCTCTTGAGAGCAGGATTCTTCAATTTCTCGTTAATCTCCTTCTGAATGCGATCAATAGGACTCCAGCCTTTAGGCCTGCGCTGCTCAATGAGATAGGGGCACATAGAAAACGTATGCTTTTCGCCACAAAGGCAGTTAGAGTATTTCTTCGTTTCTGACGGTGCTTTTTCTGCTGACGCTGCTGAGTCAGCAGCCAGCTCTGAGGCCTCTTCTCCTTGCAACGTGGCATATGCGATCAACAGGACTCCAGCCTTTAGGCTTGCGCTGCTTGGCCTGCGCTGCTCAATGAGATAAGGGCACATAGAAAACGCATGCTTTTTGCCACAAAGGCAGTTAGAGTACTTCTTCGTTTCTGACGGCGCTTTTTCTGCTGAAGCTGCTGAGTCAGCAGCCAGCTCTGAGGCCTCTTCTTCTTGCAACGTGGCAGTAAATAACGTGTGTAAGGAGGATTTCGTAGAAGTAGCACGAGTTAAGCGTAGATTGTTTCGAAAGCGCTCTACGGCGTTATAGAGAGTTGGTATGCTAGCCTCTTCTTCTAACTTGGAATCCATAAAGACTTGGTACGCGCTTGCGTACGTAGAATCAACGCCTCTGATAGCCAAAATAAAGCGGCCAATTAGCCCTCTCAGAAGGTCAACAGGTCCCCTTGGGAGAAGATGCCGGTTGAGATTCCGAATTTTGACGTGGACGATGAAAAGGCCGCTCGCTGGGAGCCGGGTCGTACATCTCTCCGGCGATCTGGCACAACCATCCTATTGTCTTCTTCCTGCACATGATGCAGAAACAGATTGAGCCGGAGGATGATCATTCAATGACCATCCAGGACCGCTTCTCCAGCGAGGACCCAGACACTCGCAAGGCTCGGCCCATGTGGGAGCTCCGTCTCGGCTACACCACCTACCAGAACGGCAAGTGGACGCAGAAACAGCTCTCGGAGATGACCTTGCGCCACGCCGCCAGGGAGGTGGAGGAATGGGACCTGCGGGCGAACAAGGGCGGGGACGACAAAGACAAGTGGAAGACTAGAACAACGTACTTGCTTCCAAATCAGACGGCCTATCGCTTATGCCCTCGACTCATCAGTGACTCGGAGCTGCGCGTCGACATTTCATATCGCGATTCACACAAGAATGTCAGGACTGACAAGGTTGTGGAGAATAGCTTCCGCATCGGATACTTTACGTTTGAAAACGGCAGCATCACCTCCAAGTCCGACTCGAGCAGCGGCGACGACATTGACACTATTACAAGCTTCCAATATGACCAGACGGGGTCCAAGGCCGAGATCTCTTCGTACCAAGTCAAAGAATCCGAGACCAGCAGTCCACCCTTGTTTGGCAAGTTCCCCAAGGTGCAATACGACAAGTCACCTGCTGCAAATGCAAAGTCGCACATCCTGCTTGTGAATGACACCGGCGTCGTCTTCAACCACACCTTCATCGACCCGCTGCTAGCTTTCATTTCCAAAGATAATACTGCCCATGCTTTTGACGACTTTTATGACCAGTTTGGCAAGCTTGCTCACAGTGCGGCAAGCGATGATCCGTTCGGTGCTACAGATGACGGATCATTCAATGAGAAGTTGAGTCCGTATAGCATATACAATTGGGAGATTGGTGCACGCGCCCATGACTTTGATTGATGCATTGCTGAAAGCGCAGCAATTCGATGATGCCCTGGAAGTGTGCCACAAAGTCTTCGACCCGAGCGCAATAGGCGCCGGCACAGATCCGACAGAAGAAAACAAGCGCTTTGGAAGTTTGAACCGTTCAAGGATCTGGCAAACAAGGATGCCAAGGTCACGCTCGAGCAAATGTTCCTCAGACTCCGGCCGCAGACATCCAATGATGATATCAATGAATGGCGAGACAACCCCTTTTCGCCGCACTCGATTGGCCGCAACCGGCCGGTCGCATACATGAAGTGGGTGGCCATGAAGTACATTGAGATTATGATTGCCTATGGCGACTACTTCTTCCGCCAGAATAGCCTGGAGACCATCCCGAATGCCATCCAATGCTACGTCATCGCCTCGCATGTGTACGGCCAGCGCGGCCAAAAGATCCCGAAGCGAGGCAAAACCAAGCCGGAGACCTATGCGTCACTGCTCGACCGCTGGGACGCCTTTGGCAATGCCATTGTGCAGCTGGAGTTGGAATTCCCCTTCTCCAACCAGACCTCGCTGCCCATCGGAGTGAGCACCGGCATTGTCGGCCTGGCCAACATCTTTGGCTTTGCAAGCGCTCTGTACTTCTGTATCCCTGACAACCCAAAACTGAGAGAGCTGCGCGACACCATCGACGATCGCCTGTACAAGATCCGCAACTGCATGGACATCAACGGCGTAGTCCGCCATCTGCCTCTTTTTGATCCGCCAATCGACCCAGCGCTGCTCGTGCAAGCTACGGCGCAGGGTCTAAGCCTCGACTCGGTCTTGAACGACATTGGCGGACCCATGCCAAACTACCGCTTCCAGCTGCTTCTCCAAAAAGCCTTTGATATTTGCGCCGAGCTCAAGTCGCTCGGTGGAGCCTTCCTGACTGCCAAGGAGAAGAAAGACGGCGAGGCGCTGTCGGTGCTGCGGACGACACACGAAGCGACTATGAGCAACATGACGCTGGACATCCGCCAGCGCCAAGTGAACGAGACCAGCCAGGCGCTCGAGCAGCTGCTCCAGAGCCGCAACGCGCCGAGCTACAAGCTGCAGTTCTACCGCAAGCTCATCGGCAACACCGAGAGCGCGCTCAACGAGGACACGGACTTCAACGAGATCCCCAACCCCAGCTTGCAGGATCCAAATAGCGAGGGCGAGCTGCTGCTCAACGAGCCCGAGTAGGAGGAAGTGCAAAAGGCCGAGCAGGCGCAAAACTGGAACGCAGGCATCGGCAGCGTCGAAGCGCTCGCAGCGGTGTTCCACGCGATTCCAAGCAGCGAGGCCTCTGCGAAGCCGTGGGGTGTCGGCGCCGGCCTGGTCTGGGGAGGCTTTAACTTTGGACACTCGACAAATGCAGCAGCCAAGGCTCTTCAGGTGTACGCCACCTGGCTGACGCAGTCTTCGTCGCGAGCGGGCATCAAGGCAAACCTGATGCGGCAGATGCAAGATCGCATCTTCCAAGCTAATGCGATTGGCATGGAACTGAAAAATATCGATAAGCAGATTGCCACCCATCGGATCAGGCTCAGCACCGCCGAGCAGGAGACCAAGAACCAGGAGAAGCAGCTTGAGCAGACGACGGCGGTGCAGGAGTTCTTGAAGTCCAAGTACACCAACGAGGAGCTTTACATTTGGATGGAGGGACAAACGCGAGACTTGTACCAGCAGTCGTACAACCATGCCTTTGACCTGGCCAAGCGTGCCGAAAAGGCATTCAAGTTTGAGCGTCCAGACCAGACCACCGACTTCATCAACATGGGTTACTGGACCAATGCCCGAGATGGCCTCCTTGCCGGGGAACAGCTGCATCTGTCCTTGAAACGGCTCGAGTCGGCATACCAAGAGACACTGGGCCACGACTTCGAGATGACCAAGCACATCTCCATCCGGCAGTGGGCACCGCTAGGTCTAGTCGAGTTCCGCGAGACGGGCAGCTTCGAATTCGACCTGCCCGAGATCCTGTTCGACATGGACTGTCCCGGGCACTACATGCGCCGCATCGTGTCCGCCTCGGTGACGATCCCCTGCATCGTCGGGCCCTAGACGAGCATGAACTGCACTGTTCGGCTGCAGCAGCACAGCATCCGCACCACGGCGCGCGCCTCGGGCAAGGCCGACTACCCGCGCCAGCTCGAAACCGAGGACGACCGGTTCAGCACCTACAACATCCCCATCTCGGCCATTGCCCTGTCCACGGGCCAGGCCGACCACGGCCGCCACGAGGGCGGTCTGACCATGACCACCAGCTCGGAGCGGTACAACCCGTTTGAGGGCGCGGGCGTGATTAGTAAGTGGCGCTTTGATCTGCCGGCCTCCTTCCGGGCCTTTGACTACGGCTCCATCACCGATGTGGTACTCACGCTCAAGTACACCTCGCGGGATGGCGGCGATAAGCTGCGCGACACGGCTTCGGGCGCCGTGGCGGACTTTGTCAAGCAAATGATTGACACCTCTGCCTCGGGACGCGACGGCCTGTTCATGTTCTTCGACCTCAAGGCTGAATTCGCGACCGAGTGTCTTTGCCGAAAGGTGGCCGTGGGTGGTAGTGGAACTGATGCAGAGGAAGTCACCATGCAGCTCAGCAATGTGTATGAGCGGCTGCCGGCGTTTACACGCATGACGAAGCCGAACCGGCTGGTGGCACTGGCCATGGTGCTGGTGGTGCGGACCGGCGACGTGTTCAGCAGTCCGCCGTCCATCGCGCCGGACCAGGTCGGCATCGACCTGCTGCCCAATGCGGACCAGAACGCGGCGTTCCGGCCGGCTAGCATCAATCTGGGAGACGCGAATCCAAACCTGGTGGGCTTCTCGAGCGAGGACCTGCAGCTGCCCATGACCAACTGGGGATTGCGCGTCAAGGGCAGTGGTATCCAGGCGCTGGGCAACACAGAGGCTCGAGCCTGGCTTGTGGTGAAATACGCAATGACATGAGACTTTGAGAATGCCAGCGGATGAAATTGCACATGGGTGAAGGAAAACATATTCTGCTCAATTTACCTTTGAAGCTAATGTTCTTTGTTTGTTCGGCAGCGGAGTAAGGTGTCGCTTTTTTTGCGTCGTGAGCTAATCTCCGTCTACTGTCTACGGCATTGTCAAGTTTCGATTACTCTTTAGAGCAAAATCTGATCATGGCCTCTGTTTTTTCTTGACTGTACGTGCAGACCGGTTTATCGCATTCGTGCTTCGATGGACAGAAAATCTAACTTACCTTGAATACAACACATACAGTGTCGTTGAGACACTGGACGGTCATTAATTAGAGCTCTATCCTTGATGGATCCTCTCAATCTCCCCATCCGATCCAACTTCGTAGAATACCCATTGGCAGATCGGGAGGATCTATCCCAACCGCGGTCGGTCGGCTTGTCTCAGGAGAGCCATATTTGACAGCCATATGCAGAAGAAAATTATTCGGCCCTTGGCACTCCGTGATAAATGCACGTGATCACACAGTAGTAATTTGTATGAGAGTTTCTTAAATTCTTTTTTACACTGCCATTCCACTGCTATTTATGATATTGAGCTCGCTGTTGTTTCCCAGATAGGTATTGAGATAGATATCCTTGGTGTTGAGTTTCTGCTGTTATTTCTGCGCCCTGAATAGTCTTCGTAGGCTGCCCTGCTCATATCCGGCCTGCTCTTGAGCGCTGGGTCAACAGCCAGCGCTCGAAATAGCTCCTGCGACCCTCTAAATCATCTATCTAATGTGTCTACACCGCCAAGCTCGTGCAATTGGTTGTTGCGATAATAAGCTTAAAAATGCGGCCCGAAGGATCAGCCTTTTGATTGAATAAAGTTCGTGTTCCTGCCTTCTTGAGTTTAACCTGGCCAGTGGTAGCTTGCCAAGGCTGCAGAACTCTTGCCAAGCCATACCCCATCAAAATCAGAATGTGCACGTAGAATGCGCAGAAAGAGGGCATAGAATTGGCACGTAGAATACGCAGAAAGAGGTTATAGAAATGCGCAAAAAAAGAGCGTAGAATTGGCACACCAAATGTATAGAAAAAGCGTATAGAAAGTGCGCAAAAAGAGTGTATAGAATATTCTTTTATTCTTTTATTCTTTTATTTCTTTATTTCTTTATTTCTTTATTTCTTTATTTCTTTATTTCTTTATTTAAAAAGTTATAGTTATTGACTAAGTAATATTAAATAAATGATTAATTAAGAAGCTTAATAATATATAATATAAAGTCTACTCTAGATTTAGCGTATTTTTGTAAAAGGGGCTTTATCATATACCCGCGAGTAGGAAGATCAAAATATAGAAAAGTTAATACTTTTATTTAGGTTACTATTATAGCTATTCACTAAATCACAGTAAAATTTGACATTTATTTAATTAGTCCGCATTAGGACCTAGGGTTCTTAGCGCCTGTAACCTTAATTAAAAATAAACTAATTAGACGCCTATATAAAAACTTTATTTATAAAGAGCTAATCATATTTAAAATTATAATAAATAGCAACAAAACTCTTTATATTTGCTATAAGAGTAATAAATGCCTATCCTAACAATATAATTTATAGTAAATAAGGATATTATATTTATTACAGAATTATATAAATTATTAAATGCCTTTTCTGCTCTCTTTAGCCTTATAAGGGATATTAATAAGCCTCTTAGCAAGGGTATGGATCAGGCTCAGCACCGCCGAGCAGGAGACCAAGAACCAGGAGAAGCAGCTTGAGCAGACGACGGCGGTGCAGGAGTTCTTGAAGTCCAAGTACACCAACGAGGAGCTTTACATTTGGATG